AGAGAGAGAGAGAGAAAGAAAAAAAATCGTGGAGAGGGTTTAGGGCCGAGAATCGTTAGGTTGGACACGTTAGATTCGATAAATCGAAACCAGTTCGCACAAATGCCTAGGACGAAACTCTTAAGACGCGACTTTTAACGAGAGACCAAGCAAACAAACTCTCCTCACCCCGGCTTCGTTATTAAAAAGCGAAACGATCTCCACCCCCAACCCTCACTCCCTCTTTCCATTTCCACCCCCTATCTAACAACCCATCTAGCATCTTTTTTTCGTGGGAGAATTTGAATGAAAGGCAGTCATCGATTGGAATGTCGAGTCTTTTGCCTAAAAAGTAAGTTTGAAAAAAGAAAAAGTTAAAAGTAAAAGGAAAAAAAAGGGACAAAAGGGAAAGGGAAGAAAAGGGAAGGGTGGGGGAAGGAAGAAGTTAAAGAATAGCAGAGAAGGGAGGGTTTAAGAGAGAAAGAGAGAAAGGAGAAAAGGAAGGAAAAGAGGTCGTCTCCATAAAACGATCGGAGCTTCCCTTTTTTTTATGTTCCTTTTTCACGCGACTATATCTGTCTCTCTCTCTCTCTCTCTCTCTCTCTCTCTCTCGCACGCGCATTATTTCGCATTCTTTCTATCTATCTTTATTTTTCTCTATCCTAAGTGTATTAGACCTCTCGCGTTTCGGATCGTCGGACGAAGGCAAAGAAGAAGAAGAAGAAGAAGAAGAAGGTGGAGGTGGAGGGTAGGTTTTGAAGGGTGCGAGACCAGGAGGGTGGTCCGAGGGCAGGCGCGGGCGCCACCGCGTACGGCCCTGTACCCCGCTAATGGCACCCTCGGGGTATTCCCGTAGAACCCTCTCGTATTTATTATTTAGCGAGGATGCTGCTGTGAAGAGGGAAGAAGAAGAAAAGAGAGAGAGAGAGAGAGAGAAAGTTTACGTGAAAGGACGAAGAATGAGAGAACGAACAAATAATCGTCCGACTGGAAGCTTAGAAAAGAAAGAGAAAGAAAGAGAGAGAGAGAGGGAAAAGGCTGGCCTTTTTCACCCATCTCCACCCTCAACTCAACCTCACCCACCTCCCTCTACAATTCTCTCCCTTCGGTAAACCACGAGGATTTATCCGCAAACATCACACATCGGAAGAACTCGGACTTCCGTCTAACACGATTTTCTGAGCAACGTAGAATAAACCGCGGAAAATAAAATGGTGACATAAAAAAAAAACACACGCGAACAAGTGAGCTTAACGACACTTAAAGACTTGGGAGAAAATAAGTCAAACTACCCTTGTTTCTTTTGTTTATTATATTGGAAAATCATATGGTACAAATTTGATACAACAAACTATCATCCCTTCCCCTTTATTTCTTTGGTCTTATAACAAATTATATATTGGAAAAATCAGGTAGAACAAAAATTCATCAACAAATCATAAATAAAAACCCTACTAAAAAGCAAGATGTTGACAGAGATGATGGTATAAAGGAAGAGAGAGAGAGAGAGAGAGAGAGAGAGAGAAGAGAATTAGAGGTGGAGGAGAGGTGGAGGAGAGGTTAAAGCCGGAAAATCGAAAACGATTGTCGCTGGTGGGCCTCCATCCTCTCGCCCCTTCATCCCCCTGTTCGAAAAGGGCTCGTTCGTTCGCTAGCTTGCTCGCGCGCGCAATTTGCGCGTCAGGGAAATGCATGCTTCGGTGGCAGCAGCTGCGGGACGTTATTGATACTACATTTCTCCCGATTTGACGAATTGCCGTACTGGACTAATGGTCCGAATACGAAAAGCCCTGGCCCTTCAACAACTGCTTTCTGACCCGTACCACCATCACCACCACCACCACCACCCATCTATGCTTTCTAAAGAGAGAAAGAGATGTTAGGATACCTAAAATTGTTTAACCCGTCGTGTTGTACATACATACCTACGTACACTGTATATGTATATATATGTGTGTGTGTTTTTGTGTGTAACTATAGTTTGCTCATAACTCTTCGACAAGAGCATTGCCTTCGAAAACGTCCAGTTGTTGGTCAGAAAAGAAAAAACCCGAAAGAAAAGAGAAATGAAATACATATGTTACTGTTAAAACGTTCAATACGTTAATTCATGAAATAACTAATATTATATATTGACGTGTTAAAGTATGAAAAAAAGAAAGAACACAAAAAGCAGTATTGCATATTTTAAATAAATAATAAAAGAATTCACTAAAGTTTAATTATAATATGAAATTGAAATTGTATCTGTATCTGTAAATTAAATTGCATAAGTATAATAGAATATTAGTATTCAGAATATAAAAATAAATAAGAACAAATAACTTATGAAGATTATTGTAAACAAAAAAGCAAACTTTAAAGACAACAATCAAATTGATACTTCTCTTCTGAAAATTCATATTTTGTTTAACTGTAAATATATAATCAAATTCATTTTATATGGATTACCTGAAAAGCCCCTTAGTTATTTCGTATAAAACTTAAGATTTATCGTGAATTAATTGAACGAAACATTTTAACTGTAACGTATGAGCACATAGAGAATGAAATAAACGTGGAATTACGAATGAAATGAAATTTATCAGAATTAAACTTAATCGTATATACATATATACGTTAAATCAAATGAATTACATACGTGAATTTATAATTACATCATGAACGACACCTGTATATATATATATATATATATATATATACGTACCCAAATAGAAATTAGAGACGGCGTCAACGACCACCTGTTGTTCACCCTTTTAACGAGATTCCAAAAAAATATATATATATTTATACATATATATGTGTGTATATGAATATGTAAAATAATAATGATAGGATGAACTGATAAAGAAAAAATATTAACGAATCGTATTATATTGGGTTGTTCAGAAAGTAATTTTGTTTTTTCTAATACAATAAAGGCATTAGTTAATGCAAACCGGCAAATAACAACACGTGACATCGGTAAGATGTTAAATTTATCAAATTTAACAGATTAAGTCCGCTTGAAAGGCCTAGGTTTAATCTTTAAAGTAAAATAAAGAAATTGAAGCTTTTCGAAAATAAAGTTGTTCATAAAATCTTCGGGTGCAAAACGTGATGAGGAAACGGCCAAATTGGAGAAAACCCCATAGTTGAAGTACACTTGACTGTACAACAAAACCGGACATCATTAATGTCGTAAAATCGCGCCGATTAAGATGGGCAGGTCACGTGGCGTGCATGGGGGTGGATCGAAAGGTGCATAAAATACTGATTGGTATACCAACGGAAAAAGACCACTGGATAGATGGGAGGACAATATTGTTTCGGGATCTTAAAGAAATGGGTTACGAAGACCGCAAATGGACAGGGTCCGCGCTCATGAATGGGAACCCAGTTCCTATAAGTCCAATTAATAATAATAATAATAATAATGTAAATAAAAAAGAAGCTGCTATCACGGAATAAAAAAAGATGAATAAAATGATTTGTTTTGTCTAGTCGAACGTGAACAAGAACGTAAGCCAACATTACTGACGTAACAGTGCACTATTGACTTGCGTGCTATCGGCTTATGTACCATCACCTTGTGTACTATTACCTCGTGTACCATTGTAGTGTTCTGGACCGAACCTCACCCGCACACAAACATAGACCCTGCATATCCATGTTTGTCCACGATTTCTCTCTCTCCCTCTCTCTCTCTCTCTCTCTCTCTCTCTCTCTATGAACGAGAATCAAAGCATTCCGCTTAAATCGTTCAAATACATTCGCATTACTCAACTACCGAAATTCACTCTTATTCCGTGTGAGTACTTGGATTACTTTTAAAAAAATATATAATAACAAGCATTTAATCCATAAATACTTTTACGTAAAAAATGGAAAGTAGTTAAGTTGATTAAAAATTGAAAAAAAAAGAAAACTTACTGAAAATGTATTTTTATTTTCTTCTCGATCATGGACGACTCGAAAGTACTGTAATATTATATTCCTTTAGTACACAAATGAAATTGTTTTGCAAAAACTATAGTTTATGGTTTTTTTTCTTTTTTTTTTTTTTGAAAGGGTTAATTTATTCATAATACATCTCTTGAACGATCCCTTTATTTTATATCCCGTTTTAATTTTACTTGCGCGCGTTACCGTGACGTCTAAGGGCCAACGTGATTCGTCGTAGACTGATCTATCAATGAATTTGTACGTTTGTATCGACGATATCCGTTGATAATAACAGTCGATAACTACCGACGCAGACACTTACCTGTCGATAACTTTTCAACTTTGACCGATAAAGTTCTTTATCAATGATTCTTAATATATATATATTCAAAAAATACAGAAGTACATTGAAACTCACAAGTATGCTTTTCGTGTAACCAGAATAATCGTAGTTAGTACCGAGACCACCAGTCGACGATAGTTAGTACTTAAACGGATGAAGGTACAATACTATCGAAGAATACTGTATTTTAAAATAGAATATAGTATTCTATATATTACTATATTATATATTCTCTATATTACTGTAAATACTGTATTTTATTTTAGAATACAGTATTCTTCGATAGTATTGTACCGTCATCGGGTTACGCAACTACTATCGTCCCCTGGTGATTCCAGGGCTAACTAAAACCGAAATGTGAACTTTTGAGCTTCAATGTACCTTCTGTATTCTTTGATAACACTCATTTGTTTCTTTTTAATTAATTTTATTTCTTCTTTTATTTTTTGATCAATTGTTTTTCGTTCTTCACATTTTTTCGCTACATTTCTGAACGTTTAACCGCGGTTTATTCAAAAAAAAAAAAAAAAAATTACTATCGTAAAATATTTCAATAAATAATTTATTACGTTATTTTCAATTATTTTACATCTCGTTACAATTAATACATTTTATGGATGTAAAAATGAAGAAAAAAGAAAAGTAATAAATTTATAATAAAAAAAATTGTATATAAAAGATAAATGTATTAGTAAATAACTTTCACCGCAAGATGGTATTAGCATCGCATTGCAGGTTTTCCGATGAAAAATATTCAACGCTTGACACTCTCAGTAATATTTCTATTTGAAGCAAATCCCGTTCTATCTGATTCTACCCCGTTACACCCAAAGTGGATACCTTACGTTACTTTGGTTCCACTTGTTTTTTCATTCAGTCATATTAGTTTCACCTATTTGCATTCTACAGGTTGTACCCATTTACTTCTTAACATAGTCATTTATATTTTTCGTGACTGATATTTCATTTGAGCAAGTGCGTAATTCCGAATATTTTCATCCGTAAAAGGTAAGCAGAATATTATAAGTTAATTTCAAGTCAGACATTCTCCAATGTCTATTTAAGACAAGGAATTTACAATTGAGACATTCCATTCTAATTGTTTTCTAAACATGGTGTACCATACTTTTCCAAAAGTTCTGTTTCAATAATTCAATTCGTATAAGCACCCACAGCTATGGTCTAAATTTAAAATATTAATTCTACACATATATATGTATGTATATATATATATACAATATTATCAAAGACATGATAAATGTACATAAATATTGAAAATAAAAACTACAAAGAGTACATTTAATAATTGTTACTCAAATCAAATTGGAAATAGTAAAAATATATATAAAATATTAAGATATGATCATTAAAGTTAATTATTATTTAATGGCAGATGGCATTTAGCGAACTTGAAGAAAGAATTAGTAAAATTCGACAACAAAATGAAGAAATAAAAAGAAGACACGAAGTAAGTTTTACAACATATTTTGTTAATATGTACAAATAATGTATAATTAACATTTAATGTTAAAAGGAAGTAGAAGAAGATAAAAAGAATGCAGCTAAGTCAAATGCTTTGGTACAAATGGTACCATCAACAGTTTGGCCAGAAAGAAAAGAACCACCGGAATATTCAAATCCACCTAAAACTAACCATAAACAAAAATCTGCTACTAAGGAACAATCCGAACATGTTCAACAGCATCATCCTAATGATAGAAGAAAAGTATGTCTTATTTTGATCATTTTGTATAATTGATTAGGTCAATGTGTATATTTTATGTATTCGTATTGAAATAATAGGGTGAAGGACCACCTCCTGATCCTAAATATAATTTCCTTGCTGATGCTGAACGAGAAGAATACAGTACACCGAATAATCAAAGAGACAATACTGGAAATAAAAATCACAGTAGATCTACTCGGGGTAATTTTAAAAAAAGAGGAATGGGAAAAGAAGGCCAGCAACAAAAAGTAATTGTAATTATTTCTTAATGTTTATGTATAAATAATATTTATTACACGTAGTTTCATATCATATGTTCACAGGGTAGAACATATCATGGAACACATAGAGATGAACATAAACCTGAGTATGAAGCATGGCGGAAGGAAAGAAATCGCATCGATGAAGATCGCATTAGTAGACAAAAAACTGCTGAAGGCAACTGGCGCAGAGAATGGGATAATGATAAAGTAATTTGTTATTAATTTAAAAAAAAAACAAACAAAAGTATTTAGACTTGGTCAGTTACTAATTGAACAAATTTCATTGTTATTAACAGGCCCATTTAGTAAATGAGATTTCAAAAGGAGATGGTAAAGCTACTTTAGGAGATTATTCAAAGAAAGATGGGAGATACTCCGATGGTAAAATATAATGTTTGAAATAATAATTAATCTCTTTTTTTTTTAAATTTTGAAAAGTAATAGTAACAGATATTTTGTTTGTTGATCAGGTAGCGGATATGTAAGTCATAATCGTGGTGGTTATCATAAATCTCATCGAGGATCTCCTAGAAATTATCATAATAATTATGATTACTCTCATATGAATGCATATGATATGCCTAATCTTGATACGTCTTCCACGTCAGTTTCTCTTGATGAACGAACTGTTGTTGCTACTGATAAAAGCATTAAGGTAACATTAAACCAAAGCAATTTGACAAAGGGTCCTGTTTTGAGTGTTAAAGGTATTTAATTTAATGTTATTAAATACTGTACATTTGTTGTTTTAACATTTAGTCGACCACGCGCACCGCAGCGAACTGTAAGAGCAGCATTTAAAATGTAAAGCACTGCTTTTTTTGTCCATTTCGTGGTTTTTCAAAGAATATTATAATAAGACATGTATTGGTCTGCACGATTGACCCCTTTCATCTATTTGAATCTATTCTCTACATTGAAACGGGGAGATCTCCCCGATCGGTCGGCTAAGTGTTAATATGAACTGTCTTTCATATGTATAGAACTGAAATTATTTCACTTGTTTTAATTTTTGATTTCATTTTAAACTTATAGTCAATTCACCAAGTATAGCCGGTACAGGAAGAGTAGGTCCTCGACAAAGAACTCGTGTTACTTACAGTAGTCATTCTGACATTGATACAAATATATACGAAAATGGGCCATTTTCTCGACAAAAATCGTTTGAAGATAAAACTAAAGGTAATCATTATAATAATGTGCAAAGGACTGTTAGCTTAAGGAGGCCTCAATCTCAAAAGAAGAAAGAGAATGGTGCTAAATCTCCATTTACACAGAGAAAAGAATTTAGGAAGGAAACATCATTTGCTAATTCATCTAAACATTATGAAAATGGATCGCAATCTAATTTTGTACGGAAAGAATACAAAGATTCACAAAAGTTTCATTATCCATCTAAATCACCAAGAACGTTACATAAAAATATTAAAATATTGAAAAATGATTCTGCTGATGTAACGAATGACAACAACACAATTAAAGATGAGAAAAATGAAGTAGTTTCAAATGATAATGACGTTTCTATTGAATCAGATAAAATCGATATAGAATCTCCAAATGAAATGAAAGATGACGAGTGTATTGTTGAAAATGAATCGAAGAGTGACATTGAAGAAAAAAATAATGAAATTATTTTACAACATTCTGAATGTTCACCTTCTGAAGAAGAAATGATTAATGAAAATATTGAATCAAATGAAGATGATGTAAACGTCATTTCTGAAACCATCCAGGATGGTATAAACGTAGTTTCTGAAACTAATCAGGATGATGATGATGTAAACGTTGTTTTTGAAACCATCCAGGATGATATAAACGTAGTTTCTGAAACTA